GGCTTCAGCCTCTTCCCACAACGCATGGCCAGATATCAAGGGCCGACGGACAGCTGTCTTACGTGAGGAGGGTCCTTGCGCTTGGCAGCCACGGGGCGCCAGGGGGCACTTGGCATGCGGTGTGCCCATCCACTGAGGGGTCTCCAGGCCTAATAACATGCGCTTAAAGGCCAGGTGGGCGCGAGCAGCAGCGGCAGTGGACACGGCAGGTGTGGGAAGACCCTGGGCACGCTGGGCTGCAGGGTTGGTCTTCCTTGTCCCGCTAGAGAAGGGGGCTTGGGCGGGCAGGATCCCTCCCCTTCCCCAAAGCCCCTAGTGGATTCTGGAGCAGGCGGGACTGAGGGATCAGCGGGAACTTCATGGGACTGGCTTTGCAGGGAGTCTCCCCCCCCCCATCCGTGGAGCTCCTCTCCCCCCCCCCCCTCTCTCTGGTCCCTTCCTCCGCCAAAGGTCCTTCGAATTGTACATGTGTGGTGATATTTTTTGGGGGGGCGGGGGGTGGTGTTGTGTGGAGGCAGGTTTCTTTGCTTTGGTCCTTGGGGCGCTGAGGGCAGCTGCCTGGAAGGGCTTCCTCCCTTAACAGTTCAGTTTGGCCTGGGGGGGGGGAGGCTTCTGCTCCCTGGAATTGCTGGGGCCCTTCGGGTAATAAAGCCCCCGGAGGAGCAGCCCCCCTTTTCATCCCTGAAGCAGCCCAAGGTGGGCGCGTTGGCTCCTAGGAGTACCCGGATCCCAGCTCTCTTGTGGGTTCATGATGCCAGGCTGGAGCAGCCCTTGGCTAAGACGAGGGTTGGCAGTGGCTTCCCCAAATCCAGGGGCTGCTCACCCCTCTCGCTTTCCCCATCTCTGGGTTGCCCTGCCCGATGGGCTTTGATCCGTGGGGTTTCCACCCCTCTTGTTCAGTGGACATCGGGGCTCGGCTTGGCGTGGGCAGCGTGGAGCCCTGGAGGGAGCCAGCCAAGCGCCCCCCCCCCCCCCCTCCCCCCCCCCTCCCCTCCCCCCAGCAGCCACTCACCAGCTTCCTCTGGTTGCTGAGGCAGAAGGTGCAGATCTGCTTGGGCTGGGAGCCTTCGCTCTCCGGGCCGGCCGGACTGCCGCCTTTGCCGCCGCCGGCGGGGTGGAAGAAGGCCGGGCCGGCGTGGCAGGGCTGCCCGTCCCCGCAGCCCTCCCCGGCCAGGAGCACGTTGCCCAGGTGCGCGATGTAGCTGGAGGCCAGGCGCAGCGTCTCGATCTTGGAGAGCTTGCGGTCGGCCGGCTCGGTGGGGATGAGCGTCCGCAGGGCGCTGAAGGCGGTGTTGACGCTGTTGGTGCGGTCGCGCTCCCGCGCGTTGGCCGTGTGGCGCTGCCGGGGCTCCCGGGCCACGGGGCCGCGGCCGCCCTTCTTGCCCGGCCCGCGCTTGCCGCCCCGGAGCCCGTAGGCGCCCGCCTCCAGCGCGTAGGGCTTCTCGTCCGAGCCGGAGCTCTCGCCGCTGCCGTTCTCCTCCTCGTCCTCCTCCGACAGCATGCTGATCTCCGGGTAGAGGAAGCGGCTGGGCGCCGAGCGCAGCAGGGCGAAGGACATGGCTGGGCGGGCGGCGACGGGCGGGCTCAGCTCCGCGCTCGCATCTCCTCCCCGCGCTCGCCTCTCGGTGCCCGGCGAGGGATTCCCGGGGCTTCCGCGACTTCTTCGCCGCCGCCGCCGCCGCCGCCGGCCCTCCCGAGCGAGATGGGCACCTCCGCGCTCCCCGCACACAGAGACAGCGGCGGGCGGGCGGCTCCTGGGCGACGGCGGCGGCCGGACAGGCGCGCCCGAGTTTTATATTGTCCGGGATGGTCGGCCCGACAGGCCCCTCCCTCCCCGCCCCGCTTCACGCCTACCTGAGCGTCCCTCCTGGGGAGGGGGGAGCGCCTGCCCACCCACCCCCGCCTGGGGGCTGCAGTCTGGAGGGGGCCCTGCGCTGACTTCACCTGTTGGATGCAGAACTTGGGCTGGCTCAGCGCTTCCTCCGGGACGGCCGGGGGGGGGGCGGGGAAGCGGGGGAGGCGGAGAAGAGGACCCGGTCGGCTGGCTTGCCGGCAGCGCTTCGGAGCCTCCTGCCGAGGTCAGCCCAGTCCAGGCCGGAGGTAGCTGGGGAAGGACCGAGGAGGGTGTCTGCTCTTGGCCAGGGTGGGGAGGATTGAACCCTTGCTGGGCTGCTCCTCCTCCTCCTCTACGGAAGGCCTCAGCAGCTCCAGGCTCTCCTGGGTGGGATTTGCTGTGGGCTCTGGCCAGGGGGCGTATTGGTTCCTTCCTCTGCCCCTCTGGGCTGCCCGTCTGCCTCGTCCCCAGGGCAAAGGGTTTGCGGAGGGCCCCTAGTCTGCCCACGTCTTGGGGAGAATCCCCTTGTCCCGCTTGCCAGGGGAGGGGGGGTAATTGGGGAAGGGGCTCTGGGGCGCTTCCAGGGTCTTCGGCCATGCAGCAGGGCCATTGAGCCCGTGGAGATGTGGGTCTTGCGCCCTCTCCTGATGCAGCATGCAGGTAGACTGCGCTTGGCACTGCAGGCTTCTTCACCCGCCTAGTTGCTGATTTAAGCTCATTCCTGGTTTCAAAACAGAACCCAGCAAAGGGGCATCCGTGGCAGGGCTTGCTGGGCTGGGGAGGGGCAGCCAGTCTCGGCACCCCAAAATCATTGGGCTTTGGGCGGTGGGATGGATGGGTAAATGGATGAACCTCTGTCTGACCTGGTCCCTTAGATTGTGCTTTAAAACACACCCATGTTTTAAATGAACAGAGCCTTGTGGGAACACAGCCACACTGCAGCCCAAACTTTAACTCTGACTTCTGGCGTGCTGGGGGCTTGCAGTTCCAGGGGCCTCCGGAGCAGCCTCCTTGTCGGGCGGCCAGTCAGGCCTGGGAGGAGACCGGGACCATTTCGGTGGTCTTGGGGCTCCAGTGAGGGCCCTGGGCAGCCATCGTGGCCTCCCTCCGAGACCCAGCTCTGCTCCGGGAGGTTTCCTCCCCTCGGCCAGGGGCTCCTCTCTGGGAACAGGGGCCACAGTTGAGGGGCCCTGAGGGGCCTCCAGACCTTCCCCGTCGGCTCCCAAAGGGATCTCCTGGGCCGAGCTGCCTTGCGAGGGAGGGAGGGGCCAGCCAGGGAAGGGGAGGGGGCAGGGCAGAGACCCCAGCCCCCTCACCTGGCCAGCGCAGGGCAGGAGGAGGGTCTCCCTTTGGGCGCATTGCAGAAGGACTCTGGCCGGAGCGGAAAGCGCTGCTTCCTTCTGGGCTCTGGGCAGGGGAGGAGGGCCCGGCCTTGCAGGACCCCTGGCCAGGTGGGGGCCTTCCTCGGCCATAGGAATCCCCCTTTAGGTGGCTCTGTTTTCCACACTCCTTTAACAGCCCGGATCACGAGAGAAGTCGGCCAGAGTCCTCCCTCCCCTCCCCTCCCTCCCCCCCTCCTCCTTGGGCCTTCTGGGTTGGCGGTCAGTCCTTCTAAGGAGCCTTTCGGGGAAGGCCTCCCCTGAACCTGCACAGGGCCCCCCCTCCCGGCTCAGGCCTTCCTTGGCAAGCTCTGGAGCAGGGCCAGTCTAGGGAGGGGGGGGATTTCTCTTCCCTGCCCCCATCCCAAAGTCCGCCTGCCCCCCCCCCTTCCCCTCCAGCGGCTCCCCCTTCTCTTCTTTCTCCACGTGGACCAGCAATTTTTGAGGCAGAGCCTGTGCCAGGAATGCACACCCAGGAATGCCTCGGCTCTTCCAAGAGCAACTTCCAGACGTGTGGCTGAGTGACGGCAGTGCCTGGGGGGGGGGGGATGGGGGGGGGGGGGGAGACTGATGTGTTAATTGTGGGAGGCAGCTGGAGGGCTGGGAAAGCTGCTACTGGCATCGGCCCCACGCAGGAGAGGCTCTTGGCTGCTCTGCTCTCGGGTGCCTCCTCCTCCTCCTCCCTTTTCCCTCGTCTTCTTCCTCCTCCTCCTCCTCCTCCTCCTCCTCTCTTTTCCCTCGTCTTCCTCCTCCTCCTCCTCCTCCTCTCATTCAAAGGGGGGGGGGGGGAGCAATGCTAGGGGGGTGTCCCACCCTGGTTCTGGCAGCAGACTGAGGGCTCCCTATTTGTGATAGGCATCCCCACGCAGTTGGGGAGGGGGGCTAGAAGAGCCCCCCCCCAGCAGTTCCCTTCCACCCTCTGCCGGTGCCAAGCCTTTGCCCTGCCCAGAGCCTTGTGAAGGGGCCCGTCCTGGCCCCACGGGGCCTCCCAGCTCCGCAGGAGGCAGGGGGTGTTGCAGCCTTGGAGGTCCAACTGTCCGTGCCAGCCCAATAAGTGGGCGTCAAGGAAGAGGAGGCCGGGCATGGCCACCTGCCAGCCCTGGGTGGGCAGGAGCCACAGGGCTGCACCCCTAAAGTCCCTCTGTCCCTTTCTGCAGCTTCGCTCCCTGGCAGGAGAGCAACTTTCGTGGCAGTGGACTCACCTGGATATGCTCAACGTAGGAAATGAGTCCCTGGCCCTGGGAGGGGCCGAGAGGCTCTTCTCCTGCCGGGGGGGCTTACCAAGCACCCACCGCCAGGGCCCCCTCGGCTTCACCCCTGGCTTCCATGCGCTCAGGGGCCCCCGGAGGGTGACCCGGGGGGGGGGTGTCCCAGAGATGCCTCCACGGCAGGAGAGTAACTGGCAGGGAAGGGGAGGCAGTCGAGGAGCCCCCTCCCTCCGCTCCAAAGGGGCCAGGAGTGGGATTTACAGCCGGGGGGGGCAGCTGCAAAGGCCCCAAAGGCGGATGGGGGGGGTGCTTGAGCCTCCCGCCTCTTGGGAGGAGAAAAGGGGTTTTGTATTCCC